GTTAAAAATGCAAATATGCTAAACCTTGATTGACATTAATGCAGCTGGAAAGAGATGGCATAGAAGAAATATGATTCTGTATTGGTAGATGCTAATGTGCAAAGAGGATAGGGGAAAGAAATATGTGGAACGATATCCAAACATACACATTTGAGTTCAGAATAGTTGCATTAAAAAGTATTCATTGATTAGTCTGGTTTTTGTTTTGTTTTTTTCTCTGAACATTAGATTCCAGATAGAGAATTCTTGCTAAGGGTTTCGTACATGGAAATCTACAATGAAACCATTACAGATTTGCTTTGTGATATCAGGAAAAAGAAGCCTTTAGGAATTCGTGAGGATGTTAATGTAAGTGGATGTTACGTAGTATAAGTATTGTATCTGCTTGGAGCAAAAGAAGTCCAAAAAAAAAAAAAAGCAGCCTTCAGAGGCATCTAGTTGAAAACTCTTCTGTGTCAAATTGTGTAATTGTTATCTTCAGAATTACCAGAAGGACACTTGATGTAGTAGAATGACAAGTCAGGCTTGCTGTTGCTGGTTTATGTTTGTAAATGCAGACTTAATCCCTTAAGTTTTCCAGGATAGTATATTTTATTTCACTTTGACAGTGAATACTTGGGAGTTGTCTAGCTACTAAAACTTCTACAAACATATTAAGCCTCTAGCTCAATGTGTTAGAAGTCTTTAACAGATAGTACAGAGTTACTTTAATACCATCTTCATATCATCTACAAAGTAGATAGACTTTTCTTGTACTGGAATTGTAGAATAACCATCAGACTAGAACTATTCAGTAAGGCAATCAGTAGGGAAAAATAAATCTATGTTAATGCCATCTTCAGTTTCTTTATGTTAAGTTTTATAGCGAATAATAAAAATTGATGTTTTGTTGTTTTATAGTGGTGGTTTGGGTTTTTTTTCCCTTTCAGTGCCCTAAATGATCAATGCTTTTAGAACCTGGGAAGAAGGGAGACTTATCAGTTGTATGATTATGGCCTTATCATTTACTGAGAACTATACTCCTGGATTCCCCCAGAAAATGTCTAGAAGGATATTTGCCTTACCAGTTTTATTTTTAGGCAACTTTCTAGATCTGATTCTTGTGCCTTTAGGCTACTGTTCTGATAAAGGTCTAAACTTTCTCAATTCCTTGTGTTCAGAGTAAAAAGACATTCATCTGATGTTGCTTCCTTTTAAGAAGGAAGCAAACTGGAATACATACCATAGTAATTGCTGGTAATGTTAACTTAATGTATTGAAGTGAGGTTTAGAGTTTGGTAAAATTGACTACTCTTTTTTTGTTCTTAAGAGGAATACGTATGTAGAAGATCTGATTGAAGAGGTGGTGGTTGCACCAGAACAAGTTATGGAATGGATCAGAAAAGGAGAAAGTAAGTTGTTTAGCTATGTCAGCTGCTATCTCTGAAAAGCATTGATGAATCAGATATATCTAGAATCATGGCGTATCTCTTTGACATTATGTTCAGAAATCGATGTTTTTCAGATTGTTTTAAAATTGTACTTTTTGTCTGTTATCTCCAGTTTATCAGAAAATAAGCAGAAGTATTCTAATATTGCTTTTTGACAGAAAATCGCCATTATGGAGAAACAAAAATGAATGAACACAGTAGCCGTTCTCACACTATCTTCAGAATGGTAAAAACTGCTTCACTATTAGGAGGGGTTTTATTTTTTTCAAAGCGACAAAAACTTTATTGCACCTTCTTCTTCTAGATCATTGAAAGCAGAGAACGAAGTGACCCTGCAAATGCAAACTGTGATGGAGCGGTGATGGTATCCCACTTGGTAAGCTGTACTCCAAGAAGTTATTAAATAGGCATTTAAGTAGAGAATTTACTGTTACTGCTTGTTTGAGGGAAGAATGTTACTTTCTAATGACATTACAAGCATGCTTTGTTGTTAACTTCTATCAGACGTTTCTTAAGCAGAAATCATGTTTCTGATCATCTGTATAGAGGGAGACTTCTGGGGTGTTATTTAGAGGGCATCTTCCCACCAAAGGGAATTCTGACATGGGAATAGTTCCTAGACGATTCATGCTGCATTGGGGAGTGTTATGCCCTTCCCAGAAGTGTAATGGACTATTGTCAGAGTGCTCTTGCACTTCATTAAACACAACTTTCCCTACTGACAAGTTGCTGACTGCTGACAAGCCCAGTAAAATAAATTCTAAACTTTAAGGCTTCTCTTATCCTCCAATTTTAGTTGTTAAAAGGGCATGTGGCCTACAACTGCAATTGCCAGAAGATTAATCTTTTCAAAAGTAACCCCACTTAGCATCTCTTTAGTGGTATATGAAATATCCCAAGCTGGGGAGAATACCCTGCTGATCTCTAGGGGAATGTTTTGGTTTCTGTAGCCTTCTCTATACAGCCTGTCCTTGATTCTCAGAAAAGAATCCAAATCAACTGGAGGAATTAAATCAATATGAAAGCATTCGAGCTTGCTAAATCCTCATGAGCACTCTCATTCAGAATTGGGAATATCATTAAGTCAGTTATGTTGTGGAAAGAGGTTTCTGTTCTGGCTTCATATGAAAAAGCTCTGGGATCTGAATGTAAATACTGCTCATGGAGTATCTGAGCAAACTACTGC